AACAACAGACATGAGAAAAGCTTTGTAGCATATATCTTATAAAGGTTACTATTCTCAGTACAGGCAAGAACCCGGAAATCAATGGAAAAAGAACCAAATAGAGAAGGGGTGGGCGGTGATTTCTGCTGGTTGTGAGCAAACAACTCAGAAGAAACACGGCTAAGAGATAAAGGACAAGGTGCCAGCATCTTTAGGAAATGCAGATTAAAACTGTGAGGTTTTTTTTGCTTCTGATCTGCAAAAATTAAAAAGATTGAGAACATCTGGTGTTGGCAAGGGAACACACTTTGGATATGTTGAGTATGAATTTGGACAATTTTAGAGTGAAGTTTGCAGCACCCATCCAAATTCAAAAGTCACTTGCTCTTTGACCAAGGATTTTGACTTCTAGGCATCTAGCCTCCACCAGTACTCTGCCCGGGCCCAGAAGTGTGTGCAGAATTAGGCACCTGCAAATCCGGTGCGGGGTACTTATGTAACGGTGAAAATGTGGAGACAGCCCAGGTGCCCATCAGGGACCCATCCGCACGCAGTGTGGAATAATGTGTGCATGGAGCGGGGCAAGGAGGTCTGTGTGAGCAGGCACGGAAAGATGACTGTGGTATGTCATCAGGCCAATAGAAAAAACGAGCAAGTGCTGAAAGGGACATACATATCTGTTATTCCACTTATAAAACACAATATTTATAAATACTGTGTATATGTGTATATCCATGTATATACACATGTGAACACACATACACATATGGATACGTCTACACACACATTTGTATGTCTAAAAATGCACACCTGAAGAATGCACACCAGACTTACTGGCAGCCGCCTCTATGGGAAGGGATGGTAGATCTTCATATTTTTAATCTAGATTTTGATAATCGTGTACAAATTTAAAATTAATTTTTTATTTAACAAATCTGGGGGGCTGGCCCCATGGCGTAGTGGTTGGGTTTGGCGTGCTCTGCTTTAGCGGCCAGGGTTCAGGTCCTCGGTGCACACCTACACCACTTGTTAGCCACGCTGAGGTGGCATCCCACATACAAAATAGAGGAAGGTTGGCACAGGTGTTAGCTCAGGGCTAATCTTCCTCAAACAATCAAAAAAAAGAGAGAAAGATGGGCAATGGATGTTAGCTCAGGGTGAATCTTCCTCACCAAAAAAAAAAGATACCCAAAAAACAAACAGGTAGTTGGGAGAGGCCTAGTGACTATATTTTGTGGCTTCTCTGTCAGGATGCTCTTCACTCTTCATTCCCTTTGTTTCTGAGATATCCTCTTAGAGTGGACGGCACTGAAATGAACGGCTCTTAATCTGCCTGCAATGTTCTTGCTGTCCCCTGACCCTCACTACCTTGGTGAGATGGTCTCTCTGAAGTGGTACCTTCCCCCTCAGACATTCCCCTCCTCTGGTACCTTGGAAAGTCCTGGTGTTTCTCAGTGAGCATTCTAGAACACTAATCTGAGAGATGCAAAGCGTTTTTTAGTCACACACGTTTGGGGAAAGCTGTACGCCTATATGAATTAGCCTCCTGGGGGCTCATAATTCACATGAGCACAGGAGAGGCTCCAGGAAGTTGAGGAGTAAGGAAACTTGTTTAGCGGCGTTAATGCAGGATTTCCTAAATTTATATGGCCATGGAACCACTTTTCCGGTAATGCCATTAACACCTTCCACGTCAGCTTCCACCATGGGCATACTGGGAAACACTGCTCAGATGTTCTTCTTAAATCTTTGTAGTCCTTGGATTACCTGGCTGGTTACACACCCACCCAGCCCCACACTAGCCCTCTCAAGTCAGCCTGGGCACCTTCTCCTTCCTGCCCCCCAGTGTGTCCAGGCAGCAGACCCTGCCTGCCTCTGGAATTCAGTGATGACTCCTGAGATTGCAAACTCAAGCAGTGGCCAAGGGCAGCCCACAGCAGTGCCTGGTGTTCGAACACGGAGTTTGAGCTAATATTGGACTGTGGGAAGATGTCTAAAAATCCAGGTCTTTTATTCCATAATCCCTGTGTCTCTAAAAGTGGGAAAAAAGAAACTTCCATTGGGAGGGCCGTGTGTTTCAAGAAAAGAGGGAGAGCATATTTCTCTGGAAGTCAGGAATAGGTACTCACATTTAATATGTAACAGTGGGAGTTTGTGCTGAGTCTGTCACAGCTGGCCTGTTCTACTCATTGATGTGAGAACTGGGCCCCCGTTGCCAACAATAGGCCCTAATTCTTTTGACCTAGAAAGTTATTTGTAAGAGCTTTCTAACAGGTCTTCTAACCTCCCAATTTCTCCATCCTCCAGTCTCCTCTGTGTGCTGTAGTTTTTTCTCTGAAGTGAGGTTCTCATATTGTGCAAACCTGATTGCTGCCCATTTCTCCAGGCCCCATCCAGTTCCCAGCAGAGTGGATCTGCAGATCCCTTCCCACTCCAGGCTCTTCCGTTGGCCGGGAACCCACCCATCCTGCTGCATCAGAGAACTTGCCAGGGTCCCCCCTCCCTTGGCAAATGCTGGTCTTGGCCAGATCGCCCTTGCTTCATCTTTCCTGGCCTAACTGCTCCCATGTCCCCTCTGAAACCTTTCAGCCTTCTCTTGCAGGGCTCTCTGCTTCCACAATGCTTTGCTGTTACAGCACTTCGTGCGTGGAAGTTTAATTCCCTCCACAACCATCTCACTAGATTGGGAACAGTTAATTCCTCTTAATCTTTTCTTCCCTCACTCAGTCCCATCCCAGTGACACTCTTGGGCAGTGCGTCAATATTTCTTGTGTGGAGATTAATCTTCACTTTCTGACTTTTATGATGTCATGGCTTTTGTGATGTCATCTACTTTCATGGTAGCATGGGCAAATTTATGGGGTGGAGTGAACTGTAAATCCAGATTTTTAATTTTTCTCCCTTTTAAGTTTCTTTTCTTAAATTAGATATATGTTTTCTTTCTTTCTTTACTTTTCTGAGGAAGATTCACCCTGAGCTAACATCTGCTGCCAGTCTTCCTCTATTTTGTATGCGGGTTGCCGCCACAGCATGGCTCCTGAAAAGTAGTGTAGGTCTGTGCCTGGGAATTGAATACAGGCTGCCAAAGTGGAGTGCGCTGAACTTAACCAGCAGGCCACTGGGCTGGCCCCCAAATTAGATAGACTTTTTGCTGCTCCATCTCTTTAATTGGACCCTCACGTTGGGAACCTGAGGCCTTAGAATCTCAAAAGAGGGTACCCACTGAATTTTTAATTTTTTTGATGAGGAAGATTCGCCCTGAGCTAACATCTGTGCCAATCCTCCTCTACTTTGTATGTGGGATGTCTCCTCAGCATGGCTGTTGAATATAGTAGCTCTGCACCCAGGATCGGAACATGCGAATCTGGACCACCGAAGCAGAGTGTGTGGAACTAACCACTTGGCCATGGGGCTGCTCCCAAGATTTTTAATTTAAATGTCAACCATGAAACCTACCACCTGGTGAGAAAGGGGGCCCAGAATTCAGGCTCTGCCTGTGGGTGTGCGTCTGACTCCCATTTACACTGACAGGAATTATGTAGGTGCCCTCAGGGGAGAGCATAACTCTTAATGGGGGCTTCCTCACTGCTTTATTTGCTGTTTAATTTTAATGAATCCCACCGTGTGGAAGTGTAAGAATGACACAAGATGTGTATGAGAAAATAGAGAGAGGGTTATTACATATTTTCTTCTATTGCAGAGTAGCGTGTCAGCTCTTCCATTTGTAGGTGATTGTCAGTGGAAAATAATTTTAGCTGCTCGTTTTCCAAATCAGAAACTGAAAGTCAAGTACTAACCTTTCCTGGATAAAAACTCACACATCATTCATCTTTGAGAGTCTGCATGAGCCCTGTGTAAGGTGCTGGAAATTAAAATAAAAAAAAAAGAATTTATGAAATTTAATGGACACATAGTATTTAATATGTTCCAGACATTGTTCTAAATTGTATCAGTTATCTTTGTTTGCATCACAGAATACCCCAACATGGTGACTTCAAACAGCTGCCATTTTCTTTGTTCATGATTCTTTTGGTCCACAGCTTGGGCTGGGCTCAGCTGGGTGGTTCTGCTGCTGCTCCACCTGGGATCATGTATTCAGCCAAAGTCACCTGGAAATTCACTCAGAGCCAGTGGTCTGAAATGGCCTCACTCACATGTCTGGGAGTTGGTGCTGGCTGTTGGCAGGCCTCTTGTTTTTCGCAGGCTAGCTTGGCTTACATGGCACAGTGTGGGAGACGGCAGGTGTAGAAACTGGGTGCCCGTGAGGCCTGCGCTTGGATGTTGCACAGCATCACTTGTGTTGCCGTCTCTTGGTCAAAGCAATTTATAAGGCCGGCCCAGTTTCAAAAGGTGGAGAACTGGATTCCACCTCTTCCTGGGAGGGCTGTAGAGATTTTGTGACCTTTTTTAAATGTACCACAAAAATTCTCTATAAATACTGGCTCACTTAATCCTCACATCAACTTTGTGAGGTAGGTTCCATTATTCTTCCCCCTATTCAATAATGAGGAAAGTGAGGCACAACAGAATAGCTTAGTAAATTGCTCGAGGTCACACAGCTTGGGACAATACAATGTGGTAAGTGCTTTGAAAGCTACTGCTCCTTTTTAAGTCTTTCAGCCACTATTAGGACGAACGTATTTTTTTCTCTGTAGCCTCATAGAGAAAGAGTCACTCTCATTGCTGTGTGGCTCCCATGTGTTAGAAGCTTCATGTGTGTTGTACCACTGAACTGTCAACATCTAGTCTGAAATGGAGCTATTATAGTATTCCGAATATTCAGATGAGGAAACTGAGGCTCATGGAAATTAAGTACTAGTCACACAAGAGAATGCTAACTCAACTGTTCCCCATGCAAGAAAGATCTCCCTAAGTAAATTATAAATGTCCTGGAGCACATCTTTTTAAAAAAAATCTCCTGTTTGCATCTATAGAATGTTCTTAAAATATTTTCTGTTGATTCGTTAATGACAGGCTACACATTTCAGAAAAGTGGCTGGAGTGATGAACGTGTTTTTCAGGTGTCCAGTGGAGCCCAGGAACAGAAGCAGGATGAATATCCCATTCCGCATTGGCAGCCCCAAGGGAGATGATGCTTTAGAGAAGAGATTTCTCGATAAAGCTCTTGAACTCAACATGATCTCTTTGAAAGGGCATCGGTGAGTGCACATCCAGGAGGTCAGCGGAGAATTGGTTTACTTTTTCAAATGCAGAATGAAACGTCTGGGAGCCTGCCCAGCTTGGAGTAGCAGTTGTTATAACTTGTTGGCAAAGGCCGGTTGTTACAGGGGTAACCCTCCCTCCTGTTGCTTCTAGAACCCTTAGCATGATTCCCCAGCCCAGACCATGGAGCCACATCTTTCGGGGGCCTTTGTCAAAATCACCTTTGAATATCTCTTAAATTGCTCTTACAGCAGTTTCTAGAGTTTTCCGTCCCATCTCTGATGAGGCTGGTACAATCTTGTTTCAGTGTTGCTCCAGCTGAACATCAGCTAGAGTAGTTAGTGCTGAGCGCTCTATGAAAATTATGTGTCCCCACATGTGAGAATGGCAGCGGTGGGGCTCCCACCCTGCAGGGGTTGCCGGCGCCTGCTCCCTGTATGGCAGCCTCATCAAGTAGCATGCTGAGCAAAATCACCCACTTTATCTTTTCTTCTCCCCACCTTGTTTTTATCTTTGCCAAGAGCGAGTAGTTGAATTAATCTAGGCTACATGTGAGCATGATGGACCTTCCCTGAATTTGGGAGAATTTTCTCATCACTGAGATGTCTGAAGCTCTTGGCCACCCCTAGGGGCCCTCGGGTGGGAGGTTGGACACAATGTTCTCAGGTACTGCAACTCCCTCATGAGAGTTAGATGCTTTTGTTCTTAATGGCTGCATCCTTGCTGCGTTGTTCTAGGTCTGTGGGAGGCATCCGGGCCTCTCTGTATAATGCTGTTACAATCGAAGATGTTCAGAAGCTGGCAGCTTTCATGAAGAATTTTTTGGAGATGCATCAGCTGTGAACACATCCTAACCAATATATACTCTGCCCTTGAACAATGTACAAAATGTAAAGTAACTTGGGAAGGGCTACAAAAACTTAGACACGGTATTTTTCTCGAACCAATATGTTTATTATAGATTCTTTTTTAAAGAACAGCAAAACATCCACAGCTGTGCAAAGCTGGTGGGACTCAATGGAAATCTTAATATAACTTGAACTGGAAGCATTTAAAAAATCTTCCTCTTGTTTTTCTAACAAATTCGGGCTTATTTTGTCTTTGCTGCTACTTTTTCTAGCTAGATCTCAGTATTCAAACTTGCCTGTGGGCTTAATTATGCAAATTGATGTTAATTATTTCTGGAGACACACAAACACACAGCCTGGAGCGTGGGTGGGGCCCACTGGGTGCTGAATCTTGATCCTTTCAAAGTGACAGCAGTGGAATCTCAGCAGCTGTTAATTCAGGTCAACATTGACCATGTGATTTTAGGAGTTCTGTGCTACAGGGCAAACTGGAATCTTTCTTGATACTGTTATTCTAAGAGATAGAAGTGACATACTATATGTTTATCTAGCAAGGTCTGTTTTTAATACTGAATAGTTTATATCTCTATGCAATGTATTTCCACTAATACGGTTCTCGGTGGTTTATGTAGAGACTTTGAGAGTGTGTTAGCATCCTTGCACTGTGCCTTATAGCACTACATTCTCAACAGTGATGGCCCTCCGCTCCGCCTTCCTTTTTAAGCTGCTTCCCAAGATTAAGCTCCCTGATTCACTTGTACTTTCCTTTCCGTGGGTAGCGGAGGAGGTTGGTTGGTTGGTTGGTTGGTTCTTTATTTTTCAGTCATTCCATTAAGCTGAAATCCCCTGGTAAACCCCCTCATCGTTTGTTCACTTGACTGTTCTCTTCGTAGTGTTTGACCAGTGATGCTGTGACTTCCAGAAGATCTTTGCTGAAGACTCTTTTCCCCTGTTGTGTATCCATTGTCAGTATTTTATGTTGAATATGTGAAAGACATTAAAGTCCTAAAATACCCAAACCTTTGTCAGTGCATTTCTTTACCTGCTTTTTAGACTGATTGTTCTTTTAAGAACTTTATGATGGCAAAACTTGAATCTAAATGTAGCCTCTGATCTGATAAGAGTAATTTAGTCCAGCCAAAGGTGTGGGACTCAGTCCTGTGCATCCATTGTCTATAATGGTTCAGCGCACTGCGGTAGCTTTCCATTGGCTCTTGGAATGGGCATTCTCAACAAACCACCTGACAGCACAGCTCACGGTGTAAAGTTCTGTGACCTCTGTCCCACATAGGCCAGAAACCTGCCAAGAGGACAGTTTCGAGCTCTCTTCGTATTTTGTTGGACCGTGGAATGAGGACTGTGCTGATCTCATGCCAACTCTATGCCAATTAGTTGGGTTGTTACTTGGGTTCCCCTGGTCAAGGCTAAGACTCCTCAGTCTTGGTTCTCTCATCTGTAAGAAGGAGGATTGAAATAATTCCCTCACTTATCTCAGGGATGTTTAAGAGCTGAAAACAAGGGCTCGATGCAGGATGTGAATAATAACCGCAATAAATGTTTAAATAGGAGCCAGCCAGTCCCCGGAATCCAGCTAAGTGTTCACATAGGATAGCACTGAGTCTACCTTACCTCCTTCCTCATCCTTTCGTATGATGGTTGCAAGTCCCTGTGGTTTGTACCAGCCCCTAGTCTCTAATCTCCACTTATTTCCGTTCCCTCTGCCATGGCCAGCTCTGCTGTGATCCCTCAGCGGGTTATTTCGGCCGCCTCATCTGTGCCTCCCAGCACAGACAGTGGGACTGTTACTTCCTCTCGTGCTCCTCCTTGATAGATAAAAAGCCCAGGCTTCAGCAGTCACGGCTTTCTAGAGTCTGATCTGGCTGCCTCTTTCCTATGTTTGTGGTTCTTGGAATGCGGCTTGCATTTGCCCGTGCCATCACACGGAAGCCTGGAGTTCCTGCCCCTGCTTGGCAAGACCAACTTTCTTCAAGACACCTGCCAGCCTTGTTGGTGTCTCCATTGGAACAATTCTCTTTTCCTTTGTTCTTACAAGGGTGACCCTTTTGTCCCCTCACAGCGCCTCTGTTCTGTTCTTTACAGAGGTGTCAGCTTATCTGCTTCCTGCTACAGGGGTGTGGAAGGACCTGTGTTTCTCCAGTTCAGTCACCTGGCGCCCTGCCTCACCCTTGAGATTGTCTGTTGAATGAATGAAAAGTCTTAATACGGGTCCTCTTGGTCTTCTGAGTTTTGCAAACTGAGCCTGGAGTAAAGGCAGAGGTACAATCTCATACGTGGATTTTTTTAATTTTCAAAAGCTTAGTATACGATCCAATTTCATTTTCCACTAAGATGATCAAATATGACTGGTTGAATGGGGAAACAAAATCTTGGAGGCCTTCCAGTCTCATCCTTATAAATCTGTGAAAGCTTTTGGAAAATGGTCAGCAAGAGCATTTGTACAAGTACAAAGGGTAGTCACTGTTGTCTGGACACAGTTTGCTGGAAAATACTCATTGAGTGAAAAACTTGACCTTTGTTTCCAGTGAGTGAAGTGATGCCAATCTGCTGACCACGTGCAGAGAGGTGAAAGGCGAGATAAGGATGCAGGCTCCTGGGTCAGCAGGCTGCAGGAGCCAGAACCTGCTGGCCTTCCCATGAAGATTAAATGTCTTTCAGACCTTGAGGAATCTGTGTAAGGCATGGCGACCTCATGTTCCTTCGGATGCTCCAAATAGTACTTCTTCCCTCAAACTGAATTTGGAGTTTTATTTTTCTCTTTCAAAATTTGTGACAACACATAATTGTGCTAAGGCAACTGAAATGGGAAAAAATTGTTCCCATTCCTTAGTTTACCTCCACGCACTGCTTCGTCTCCAACACTGCGGTTCTGTTCTTTGCACAAGAAACAAAATTGTGTTCTGTCTTAAAGTCTTCATTTCCCTGCTAGTCTATTTATCTAAATATCTAATGCTGTCTCATCACAACTTAGCTGATGCTGAAAGGTTTGGCCAGCCCTTAGGTGAACCATGTGATGTAACAAATAATTCCCTTCTCCCCTCTTTAGAGCGGAAGGAGCCAAGACCCATAAAATAGACAAGACCCATTGATAGATTAGATGTCCAATTCTGCCAAAGGCATTAGCAGGTCCGGCCTGGTACCGCTCCGTGATTAATGTTTGTTGTATGGTGTTCTTCGGAAGGAAAATAAAATGAGGAAGAATTTTCTCACATTTGATCGGAATGAACATAATTAAAAAGTGAAATGCTACTGGGTCTGCAAAGAAATCAATCACTTTAATTGGAAAGAAGATTCCTTGCCTCTGTTGGTAATTGGGCTCTTGGTAATTTAAAATCAGAATCTATGACAGTTTGTGATAAATTGGCTCCTTTTGGGCTAAAGAAGGTAAGTTCTAATTACCCCTGGATTATTCCAGAGTGGGTGGAAAAGCTTGATCAAAGAGAGATTGGGAGAGAGACAGAAAAGCTAGCAGTGAGCAAAGATTTATTGAATTTCTTTTTAAGAAGCTAAAGAATAAAATAGTTCGTTTGATGTGACAAAAACAAGAGCTCATGGTATTTGAAATCCCAAGATGTAAATTGAATTTTCTAAGAAAATGGGGAACTGGGCATGTTAGAAAAAGCTTATGTCCACTAAAGTTCTACAGTCAGGTGATAGAAATTAGCCTTGCTGGCTTGTTAGTACACGAGCATATTGACAACCTTGGGCCTCGCTTGGGGAAAGATGGAATTTGTACTTTCAGTGTTTAAACGCGTCAGTAATCAGCACTAAGTTTAAGGAAGTCCAATACATTTTATTCAAATGAAAGGTAATTTCCTTTGGAAATGTAGACAGGACCCTAATTAATGCGTCTGCTGACTTCGTCACTGTTGGTATTCTAGCCTTTATTTCTATATAGATTTCCTAAGAATACTGGAGGAACGGGCTGGATTTTAGGCTGATGCAGTGGGTTATAAATTTATTTCGAATTGTGTGTATTTATTTTATACAGCTATAAAGAGGTAGATATATAAATATAGATACAATTTCAAACTTACAGAAAAGTTGCAAGATTAGTACAAGGAACTCTTGTCTGCGCTTTATCTAGATTCACCAATTATTAACATATAGCTTCTCTTGCTTTGGCATTCACTCTCCATATAGACATTTTTTGTCAGAACTGCTTCAGGGTAAGTTGGAGACATTGAGCTCCTTTTCCTCTGACTAGTCATCTACTAAGAACAATATTCTCTTCCACAACCACAGCACAATGATCGAAGTCAGAAACTTAACATTGGTACTGTTGACTAATCTACAGTCTGTATTCAAATTTTGCCAATTATCCCAATAACGTCATTTATAGCTAATTTTTTCAGTCCAGGAATGAGTCTACAATCATGCACTGCACTTGGTTCTCGTGTCTCTTTAGTCTAAATATGAAACACTGCTTCAGTTTCTTTGTTCTTCAGGTTATGGACAGTTTGCGAAGAGTATAGGCTGGTTGTTACGTAGGATGACTAAATTTCGATTTGTCCTCTGATTGTTTCAGGGTAGGTATTTTCAGCAAAGGTACCACAGAAACGATACTGTGTCCCTCTCAGTGCATCCTGACGAGAGGCACCTGATGTCCATCTGTCATTGGTGTCTTGGTTAAGGTGGTGTCCACGACGTTTCTCCGCTGTCATGTTACTCCGTGTCTCTTCATAATTAATGTCATTTATAGAGAGAGATTTTGAGATTCTGTAACTATCCTGTTCTTCGTCAAACTTTTGAATTGCAAATCTGTTCCATAAAAAGGATAATACAGGTGGATTGATTTGATGGAGAAGGTGAAGTGATTTATTGCTTATTTTCCATCAGTACTTTTTATAACTTACTCCCCTCTCCCTCAAAGGAAGAAAATCCTAAAATATAAGCAAAAGTGTGCAAAAAAGTACATCAGGAAGTGAAAAGCCAACGATTGGAGGATATATATTCCAGGATCCCCAAGAATAAGAAACATATTTTGAGAATGCAAATAGTATGGGCAAGTGTGCTTTTTGGTGAATCAGGAAAGGAGGAAGAGATCCCCTGATCAAGATATAGGGACCAACTTGTGGAATTTTCCTTCCCTGTCCAGTCAAATTTGTTTCTTTCTCAATGTTTTTAGAAGTACAGTGCTTTGGCGACACGGGCGTTTGATCTAATAGCCAGCTCATGAACCACACAGCCTGATTATACTTTGGAAGTTGTCAGGTAACAGGCTAAAGTTAAAGTTGCTTCGGATGACTCCAGCCTAGCAGAATAGCCCCCAAGAGAAAAATAAAATCTTGGCTTCTATCTAGCCAGGTAAAAAGCCAAAGGCATCTTAAATGCCCAAGAAATGAAACTTGAGGTTGCAATGTAAGAAGTTACAGGTCATTTTAGGGGGAAAATGACAGCAGAGCAGAGTAAAAGGCTGCTAGCAGCAGAATTGTTCTTTCCTGATCCCTTCCCCCTCTTTAAACCCTTCCTTTCTTCAGGTTGAAAGTCCAGGGGTTGAAGCAGAAATCTTCAGGAGTTCTTGGGAAAGGACAGGTGAGCAGGTTAATAGTCTCAGGTAATAAGCATTCTGCTATAAAATATACTGGGGAAAATATTTCTGAGTTTCTGATGCATTTAAGTCTAGGGCAATAGCACACGTTGTCTAAAGAAATGTGTTCAAATTAAGGCTTCAGCTGACGGTCACCCAATTACTTCCTCCATTAAGCCACGCCCCATTCTCCCAGCAGCACATTATTCAACATACCTATTCAGTGTTTGCCATGAGCAGGGTTCTTGTGGATACAGGAGCAAGCAAAACAATCATGGTATTATATCAATTAGGATTTTGTTGGTGACAATGGATAGAAAACTTGACTCAAACTGGCTCAAGCCAAAAAAAAAAAAAGGGGGGAATTTATTGGTTGAAAAGTCCAAAGGCAGGGCCAGCCCAGGTCTGGTTTGCTCCAGAGGCCCAGGATATGTAGCTTTGGGTCCATCTTTCTAGGACTCTGCACCTTTG